ATCTTTAAAAAAACATCTAGAGAAAACACTGAAATTCGATAAAAATTCGAATTACGCGCGCTTTTACCGGCAATTGGCCTAGAAAACTCCCACCTGGCCGCTAGGCCACCGGTTCCCACTTTGACTTTTCGATGCCGTTTTTCTCAGTGAAGGAATTTTTTTTGATTTTTTTTCTTTATTTTTATGGGAATCTACATGGCTTTCTGCACAAAATAAAGCAATAAAATTTTTCACCGCACACCACCTTTAAAACAAGCTAGCACAACTTACAGTAATTATGATGTAGTATAATGGAGGAAGGAAAATCGAGAGAATCAAGTAGACGGTTCCAGAATACATTATCTCCACGTCTTGATTTATAGCTAACAAAGACATGACACAAAAATATAATCTTTTTCTGCCTTCTTGTGAGTTTTTCTATCAATATCTGAGAACAATTGTGAGAAAGCTAGACAAAAATTGTTAACGTTCTTTTTTTTTTGTTATGACTGAAATCTGTTATTTGAGCAAGCGGCTCGACTCAAATTGAATTTATGGGAATTTTCCGAATTGGATGTATATCAACAACGTTCTAATAAAAATGCTCCTGGTTCTTAAAATTGTTTCCTCGGGAGAAGACTTGGCTATCATGGTCTCAACAATGTTTCTGTATATTTTCGATCAAATCTCTCAACCAGGAAGTCAAGTGTTGTTAAGATAACAACTGGCCATGACATCTGTCTCGCCCTATATAAACGTTTCGAGAACATTGAGACAGGGATCAGCTATTCAAGAAAATGAAATTCCTACTTTCTTTTTTGGTTGTTATATTGACAGGTAAGAATTTCTAGTCTATTCGAGTCTCCACTTCAATTTATAGTTTCTGATCAAAATGACATATGTCTCGAAAAAGTCGAATTTGGAAAAAACTTGACCACAGCCGAGCCATCAATAAGGGTAACCCATAATCCGATATTAATTTTTCATGAATTTCGATGCAGTTCCATTTCGACAACTCCACTGGGTTATGTATGGCCTTCGGATACAAAGGATGTGGAGGAAATAAGAACAATTTTGACACGGATGGCACTTGTACTTCTTTATGTAAACCAACGAGCATCAACTGGTGTCCAGTAAAATCAGCACCAATGAAAAAAAACTGATGGAACCGTTTTGTGTAAGGAGGATGTAAGTCATTCGTTTTCATAATTTTTTCAATCATGAAAGTTCAGGAGGACTGTAAAACCGACGGATACTATAAGAGGCGATTGACTGGTGGTGGAATTTGCTGTAGTAAAGATGTCAGAGGTAATTATCGCCGAGATACTTTGCTATGATAATTTTCAGACAAGGTTGAATCGGACTACGCTCCAGTATGTGGAAAAGGAAGAATTGCATTGATTGTGAAGAACGACGGAAACGAGATCTTGTTGATTGGAAAGAATTGAGATTCCAATTTCTGTCCGAAAGAATCAAAGTGCACCATGGGAAACTATTTCGCCACATGCTGTAAAAAAGTTTGATTTTCTGAATTTTTAAATAAATTCGTTTATTATTTGTTCGATTTCCAGTATTTTAACTTCTAGGTAAACTATTCGCACTTATTCTCCACAATAAAGAATTCAGTCTTCTCAAACAGGCATATAGACTTGTAAATAACTAATAAATTTTGTGACAATGGTTTGAGCAAACAAAGATTCGTCATTTTTTGTATGTCCAATACTCGTATTTTGGCTTTTCAACGAATACGAGGAGTACCTGAAAACTCAAACATTAACAAAATAAATCAACTCTTAGAAATAGAAAAAAATAACGAGTTTAAAAAATAACGAGTTTTTTTAGCGATTCGAAGATCAAAATACAGTAAAACCTGTAATAGAAGGGCCCCCATACTTCCAACTTTGAGCCTGTTTATCTCGGTTCCTATGAAAAATCTCAAAAATCAGTCAGCTGATAAAATATTAGTGATGTTGTGATAATTTATCAGTTGGCAGATTTTTGCTATCTCTCATAGGAACAGAGATAATTGAGCTCAAAATGAACGTAGGCAGCTATAAAAAAGTTTGGAAAACAAAAAATTCTTTGTAACCTATCTCCAATGACCGCAATTGCTACAAGAAGAATAAAATAGGTGTTGGCACGCTTCCGAAACTCTAAACCTAACATTAACTGTGGTATTAGTGAAATCATCAAATTGATAAAAAATAATACGCCTCTGAATCTTCTCGTTTTCTTTTCGAGCTCCACACAAAATGAATTTTTCAGACCATAAGGATTGGAATTTGATTCACCATCCAAATTCGGTGAATCAAATGAACAGAAGACCATCAGACCATCAGACAGTCTGCATAGAATTGAATCATCCTGCACCTGGTCAAATAAACAGGTGTTGATACTGTTGCTCATCAAATTACTTGTTCATAATTTTGCGGATCATCAATTTTTGCAGATTTGTGTACATCTCTGGGAGAAGGCAAGTCTGGATTCGTGAAACGTCTGAATACCAATTAATGTATTGAAAAGAAGAATGGCCCAGTCAAACGTCTAGGAAGAATTCAGTCAGTTTGTGAAATCAAAAGTTACATAACTTTACCGATTGTTTTCATTACTTATATAAAACTTATGAAAGTGATTCATCCAATTAGCCGAATTTAAGACGAATCAAAATGTTATCTTATCTTCTTTATGTTAATGTTTTTCAACTGAATTCAAAGGTAAAGGAAAATGCTGAAAAACTGATTAAACAGATGACGAGGCTGAAATTGGCGAATTACTGCGAGTGGGCAGCCAAAGGAGAACTGACGGGCCGTTGACGGACTGACGATGGACTATCAACCCTTTGGAAAATTGACTTGAAAGTCAGGAATGCAACCAGAAAACAATATTCCATGCCTGCTATAGAATAAAGAAAGAAGCGAATTTTCCTCATATTGGACTTCCTAAAAAAAATAGGTCGTTGAACAACCTCTTAACGACAGTCGAAGAGGTCGACTGGTTAGTGGACCTAATTTCTGCAAAATGGAAAATTTTTTAAGCTTTCATAAAAACAGAACTAATTGTAAGCTCGAAATCAATGTCCACATTCGTTCCCTCAACTAACGATAGAATGTTTCAGATTATGTTGTTCCACACGCAATAAGACTTGTGATGAGCCTCATCCAGTGATTCTAGGTGTCAAACCTGAACAAATAGAAATTCGTTGATTCTCGATTTTCGAAAGTTCTAGTTGTTCCGGAAACATTTCTAATTATAGAAGTAGGAAATAAACATTTTTGTTGACTATCGGTTACTAAAATGTTTTGCCCCATGTGCATACATTTGTTAAAGTGACAAGAATCAAAATCCTTGTTTTTTTAGTACTGTACACTCATGTGCATCTGAATGCAAAAAAAAAAAGAATATGAGAAATTCGAGAAATTCGTATAACCTGTAATAGAAGGACATCTAAATTTTAACATTGATTCAATTTTTCTCGGTTTCTGTCAAAGAATTAAAAATTGTCAACTGATAAATTATTTATCATAATTAGAAATGTTGTGTCAGTTGACACACTTTTGATATCTTGCAATTGAGATAGCTGAGTTCAAACTTGACAGTGTGGGGGCCCTTCTATTACAGGAGTACCTAAACCAAAATTTTAATAAGTTTTGATATTTCCAAAATCTATCAAAAATACCAGCAGGATCAGTTCAAATCCAACTAGGTCAAAAAGTTGCGAATATTGAAGGAACCAAACTGGGATCAGGCATGACTCATGGAAGCAATTATCCACGGTTAACGCAATTGGTTCATGACTGAAAAAACTATATTTTGATCTATTGATCAAAACAAGATTAGCATCTAATTTAGTTTTTTGCAAGTCATTCAAAAACAGGGAACATAGGGAAATTATGCGATGTTTGCTCTAACTTTTCCAAAAACCATTCAGAAACAATATGAAAAAACACATAGAGTCTAGGATCAGTCATCATGTAAATACTATGTGTGAACAACTGGTATCTGGTTGATCCACCGAACTTTTTTCGTATTTTCGAGATTGTTGGGCGGAGACTTCAAAGTGTATAAAAGTGGGAGAAAGTGGCAGGGAAAGGATAACACAGTGTCAATTTGACAAGAAGGTCAATAAGAAACTATTTGCTACTACTACTACAGCGACAATAATGGTTAGTTTGGTTAGAAATGTCTACCGAGTAAACCAGTGAAATTTCCAGAAGGTTCTCATTGCTGTCATTGCTCTTGTCGGATGTTCCGTCTACGCTCAACAGGGTAAGTCGTATGTCCAAAAATCAAAAGCATCTAATAAATTCCAGCTCAAATCTTGCCGGCTGGAAACCAAGGAAACATGGGAAACCAAGGCGGTCAAGGAAATATGGGTAACCAGGGAAGAATCATCGGAAACCAGTGTTACGGTAGAAACGAAGAGATGAAGCAGTGTGGAACTGCTTGTGAACCGACTTGTGCCAATCGCAACCCGGTATTAATAAAACAAAGCCTATTATCCTTGTCTGAGAAAAAAAAGGTTGAGACGCAGAGAAAAAGTGTCTGTGTCTCCACCTTATGTGTGCTATTTAGGCTCTCCGCTTCGATATCGCTACCGTATTCAGACTGCAAAAAATACTCTCTAAATAACCTTTTTTTTCTCAGACAAGCATAATAAAAAATGTCATCATTAATATTCCAGGTTTGCACCAAGCAATGCATCAACAACGTCTGCCAATGTCGCCAAGGATACGTTCGTCACTCGCTGACCAGACAATGCGTTCTTCCATCTCAATGCAATAGAAACAACAACTCAGGAACATCGCAATCGCCACAGCGCTGTGGAGCCAACGAGACCTTCAGAACTTGCGGAACTGCTTGCGAGCCAACTTGTCAGAACCCAAATCCACAAGCCTGCACCTTGCAATGCATTTCAAACGTTTGCCAATGCAACCAAGGATTTGTTAGAGGACCTTCTGGATGTATCAGACGCCAACAATGCTAAACGATAAATCAAATTTTGTTTGATGATAAAATTCAGCGAATCGCTGTGCCTTGTATTGTAAAAATGTGTATCATGTAAAATAAACTTTCATCATTCGAAAATCGAGTTTTTTATTAGGTAATTCAACGGAATGTTTTGAAAAAAACTTGCTTTTTTGCAAATTTTGTTAAAACCGTGGGAAGCAAAACTTATTCAAACCTCGCGCGCAAAAGACAATAGAACGGAAAAACGCGCTCTATCGCACTCAAAAATTCTTCGAAACTTGGCAGGCTGCCAACTGCCTATTTTTTCGCATTTTCTTTCCCTTTGGAGACAACCCCTTCCTTGGTATCGGTGGAGTCTCGAAAAACCCTTCAGTTCATCAATCAATAATAATTGTTGAAAAAACACTCGTGTTTCGACCTTGAAATATGTTTTTCCCCTAACTCGGACAATTTCGCTTGAATATCGATTTCTCCATGTCGTTACTCGTAAAATTCTGACTGATTTTTCAGGTTATAATGGCAAAACGAAAGAACGGCGGAACCGCGAACACTCGTGAAGCGAAAACAGCGAAATTCGATCAATCGCCAGTCAAAGCCGACAAGCGCGCTGCGCACTCATCGGTAAGTATAATATAAATGTGTAAATTCAATAGTTTGTCTGAACCCGATCTCTATAGGATACCGATGATGACGAAGAGGAGCCTGCTAATGTTGAAGCTGAAGAAACTCGCCACGATGAAGGTGAATTCAACTACGAGCCGGATCAGTTTAGAGTTCTTGTCGAGTCGTTCACAGAGCACGTGCATTCCCATGAGAACGGTGCCTGCTCTGTTCACAACATGGAGAGAGTTGTTGCCGATTGGATAAAGACGCAAGATGAATTGATCGATGCGAGGTACTATTTCACTGGTATCAATTTGTCTTTAACATACTTTTCAGATGCTTCATCACTGACTATCGCAAATACTTGAAGCAAGCTGTGAGATTCCGCAACTATCAATTGACCCATGCATCTCCTAGTCTTATTGCTTACCTGGGAAGCGACAAGGCACTTCCGGAGTTCTCCTCGTACCCAGACCGGCTACAAACAAAGGTGCAACTCTACATTAAAAGGAATAATATCGAGTTCAAGGGTAGCATCGGAGGAAAGTTCATGAAGGACTTACACTCTCGCATGCAAAACGATAAGGAAGGTACCCGAGAATGCGAGGAGGAACTTCAAGAACTCAAAACTCAGCTCATGCCGAATCTCCAAGAATTCCTCGATTCGCACCCAAACTTGACGGATGAGCAGAAGAAACACATCAGCGCCAAGATTGCGGCACTTGAAAGACAGTGCAATCCGAAAACACCTACACCAAAAACCCCAAAAAAGAAGGGAAAGGAGGTAGTTACTGCCTACAGTCTATTCTGCAAATCGAAAAACGATAAGTTAGTTTTACAAATGTAAATATCCTGTTACAATGCGACTATTTTCAGGTACCGTGATTTGTCGGAAGTTGAGCGCGAGAAGAAGCTCGCCAAGAAGTTCGCGAAGCTGCCAGACGAAACACGCGATATGTTAGAAGGACTGGCACTGGGCATGAATTAGCTATCGTTTCACTTCCAGAACTACTGTTCAATTTGATCACTCTTCTCCAAATTGATCCATTTCTTGATACTCGTTCTTTATCCAACTGTTAATTTTGTTCATTCTCTTCTTTCCTAATATAACATCTACCTTGTAACTCTAGAAACTGATTCCTTACTTTTCAAATTTATCTGTTTAGCCTTTCACCCTGGATAAAGTCTTTTGTTATTTTTCTGCAAATTCAAGCCAAATTTCTTTGTTGAGTTGCCCACCTTTTTGATATTTATCAGGTTATCTGTCCGTTGTGTGGTGGTGTTACTAATTAATCCGATCATTTCCATTCATCCCGTTCTTTTGTGGGAAACAGATAATTTGATTAAAACATTAGCGATAGTTGTAGCAAAGGATGTTGCAAAGCTGCAATGCTGATTTCATTGAAATCTTTGGAGTGAAGCAGTTGAAGCCGCTTCTTCACGAAACTGGGCCAATATTTAAGAGTGCAGCTTCAAATTGTCCTATTTCCTTCTCCTGTGACAGGAGTCCTGTCAATCCTGCAAATGTTGTAATCGTACAAAAATATTTTTGTTGCAATCGAGCTTGGTCACTCCGGTCAGCTGACTTTCTCCGGTCCGATTCACTATGTTCTCGATGTGCACCTCCGAATTGTGACACTGAAAGCAATATAAGAGCTGCTGCTTCAGTCAGTTGCTCTGGTGCCAGGAGGCACCGAACAAGCGAATCACACGTTGTGTTCACGTGACTGGCGTACATGAAGAAGAATAAAAGGGCTTGGGTATTCCCCTTCCGACGCCCCGCCTCCACTCGAATTCTGCTATCAGTCGCAGCGTCGTCGTGGCCTCACTCTCTCATTGCGACTTCCATTCCGATTAAATAGTTCATTTTTTGACACAAGTGCACAGTTTTTTTGGCGTCTTCCACCTAGACATGCTTGAACGTAGAGGACTGAATAGGAGATTCACAAAAAATTAGTGTTCAATAGTATTTTTCGCAGTGATATTGTCGGATTAAAAAAAGTGACACCTGAAAATCTCGGAGACGGCGCTCGTGTCGATTTACGAGGGGGCGGAGCGAAAACGGATACTGTAGATAAAACATTTATTTATGTGAATTCAGTGGGATTTTGTGAACAAAATTTTTATTTCTTGGTATAAAAATGATCGCTAGCATCTCTAGAATCTATTTTCCACCAAAAAACTAAACTTAAACGCGAAAGTAGCTCGAACGAGCCGAAATTCTGAAACATTACGTTTTTGCCGCATTTTTTCGTAGATCAAAAAAAGGCAAAAATTTTTAGAATTCTCAGGTGTCACTTTTTTTAATTCGACAATACAACAATCAAATGTATCTGGAGACACTACGCAAGTATTTAACGAACTGTCAGCTTTTCAAGAATATTGCGATGAACTGAAAATAACTCGGGCACGCAGGACTCGAACTGCTGTGATATGCTGTTGAGATTCAATTAGACGGTGACGTGGTGAAGATTTAGGTGGAAAATTAACTAAAAATTGCAAGAAATTCAAATTTTTAAAAGCCTTTTCCAATTGAGCGCAACATCATACCACAGCAATTCGAACCCTGTGCGAGCACTGACCATTTCTGTATGAACCCCAGTGAAATTTGATAAGACTCTAAGAATGTACGATGGTGAGACTCCAAAATTAGTTGGCTCACTTCACCTATAATTCCACTACACAACATGCTTATCATCTGCTTCCTCGTACATATTTTCCCGATTTACACGCACATTTGTTTGTGTGGGTCCACCCCCACATGACCATATGTACTCTGAGCAACACCGACACTTTTGTGCATATGAAAGAATATAAATTTGATAAAACAGCGGTGATTGGCACGAGCTCTCTATTTGTCTTGTTGTTCCTGCCCTTTGACGATTACTATCGCTTTTGATTGTACTTTGTGTTCTGTACACTATCGGGAGGATTATATCGGAAAAAAGTTAGTCTACAAGTTGGAAGAATTTATGTAAAGAGAAGTTTATCAAGTTTCGAGGTATTAGATGACTCCAACAGATAATTTTTTGGTCAAACAGTACCCTGGAAGGTTCATTTCAGAATCCTCGTTGCTTCACTGAGGCTAAAAGTGTCTTCTATGTTTTGTTGCTCCCCATGCTGCCGTGAAAACAATAGGGGCTATTGGACGGACGCCTCTCAAACGTTCTATGCTCACAAAAACTTGATTTAGGCGTACTCGACCTGAAAACAATCCCAAAAATTCCAACCCAATGGTGCAACTTTTGCACATGTAGTGCACGCCGTACACATTCAACCTCAGAGCACAAAGTACGCTGGTCAGTGCCCTCATGTGATACGATGCCCCTGGAGTGCGACCTCAATTCAGGGCCAATGTCATTCGCCCCTTTTTATTATTGAAAACGGGTTCCTTTCCTCAATATATATCATTTTGTTCTCTGATGTTGTGAGGCTTAGCCCTGCGTGCATTTCTGGTGGATTCCATTTTCGGTCATATTGGTCTTCTTCTTCTTCTAACTGGAGTCGCCACGATTCGACACAAAAACGTGTGGCTGGCGATCTACTACACTCTGATTTTGATGACAATTGCTTGATCAACAAGACACATGCGCTCTTTTCCGATCTTTAGTAGACATTGTTGTGATGACATTATGTATCAATCTTTAATCTCAAAACTTGAATTCGTCAATGATACACAATTTATTTCATCTGATTAGCCGAGAGATTCTTCTTAACAATATTTAACAATCAGTCCTGATCAGTCTGAAATGGTTATACCTAAATATAACCATCTCTCTCTCAATATCCCATATGATATTGTTCGAGAAACAAATCATCAATCATTTTCTCATCATCATTTAACACCTTCTTCGTTATCATTCGTGGTCACAGATATCCTTTTATTGTCCATCGTTTCTATTTCTGCAGATATCATTTCGATATATCCCTTCTGATATTATACATCTGCTATCATATCAATCACGCCAGTTTGCACTTCAATTATTCTTTTTCTCCTACCGTTTCGGACCAAAGTCCAAAGGTTCTACATCACACCTCGGCCCGCCGATTTTCCTATCTCTCTCATTTTGTTCAAAAATGGACGCAAAAAAGGTCGTGTTATCAGTTTTGATCGTTTTTTTCGTTTTTCGAGAAACACAAAATTCATGTGAAGAGTTGATCTGAAGAATATTTCATAATCTACCGTTAGCTTCTTTTTTTTCGAATATTTCTTTTGCAATTCCAAAAACTTTCTTTTTTTCAGAGAAGTAAAACCAAAACCAATAGAAATGGCAATCGGTGTGCAGAAGAAGGTGGCAACGCCGCTCAATGAAAGTGTCGAGAAGGATGCCAACCATGTCCAACAGACCATAGGAACCTTGAGACGGTGCCTTCAGATTGCTGGTGTTTCCAATAAGCCAGCCAATCGTAGTGCCAAAAATTCAATCAGTGAGGACTCGGTAGGTACTAAATTAACATAACGTCGGGTGCCAGAAACACTTCAGGAAATATCCTGGAAAACGCTGACCAAAGCTGCCATTGTTTTCCAGGTTTCCACAAAAACTACTGTATCACTCGTTTTGACTGTGTTTTTACTGTTGAAAGTAGCAATTCATGTTGAATTACGGCGGGTCTCGAAGCGAAAGCCTCTCTGGAAATCTGGAAAAAAAATGACAGCTTTAGACACCGTTTTCCAGGAAATTTCTCCTGAAATTTTTGTTTGAACGCGGCACAAAAGATTTTGAAATAAAGCAATGTCATTCACAGTACAATCATTGAACCAGTATCTAGTTACAGAACGATCCCGCTATGGAAGAATCGGTACCAGAAGCTTCCAAATGGCCTCACTGCCAGCACATGATCAGCCAAGACGAGGCTCCACGTAACGACGAGTTGGCCGGACCAAACATCCGCATTGTACAGTACAAGGACGAAACCCAAATCAACGATATCATGCGCCTCATCACCAAAGATCTCAGCGAACCATACTCCATCTACACCTACAGATATTTCTTGCACAACTGGCCCGAATACTGCTTCTTGGCTCACGATTCGACCAGCAACGCTTACATTGGGGCCGTTTTATGCAAATTGGAAATTGATATGTTTGGAAGATGCAAAGGATATCTTGCAATGCTTGCTGTCGATGAGTCGTGTCGTCGTCTCGGAATTGGCACTCGTCTTGTTCGTCGTGCTCTGGATGCTATGAAATCGAAGGGATGTGACGAAATTGTACTCGAAACAGAAGTGTCAAACAAGAATGCCCAACGCCTTTACAGTAATCTTGGATTCATCCGCCAGAAGAGACTTCTCAAGTGAGCTTAATTAGTAGGCTATAATTGTCTTTAATCTTCCAATTTTCAGGTACTATCTCAACGGTGGTGACGCTTTCCGCCTTAAGCTCATCTTCACTTCCCGTCGTGTACGCTCTGTGATCAATAACGAAAACTGTCAGCCGCGGTGTCGGGTCAACGAAGATGATACGCCAGATGAGGAAGAAGGAAATTATTAAATTGTGTTTTTCGTATTTCCCGATTATTGCAATGTTTGGCAAATTCAAAAAGGACGGAAAATACGGCTCACCAAAAAAGATTTAAAAAAAAAACAGTATTTGTCAAGCGATGTGTTCTTTTTTTCTTCATTATTTCTGCTCCTGTCACTCTGTATAATTTCACCCGTTTCTTCGCGAATTTTGCCATTGCCATCTGCTTTAGCCTACTAAATAACATAGAAAATACACATTTTTATTTATTTTACCGAAAAACTAGAAGACTATCAGGAAATTATTATTTTCAGGCGTTCCGGAAAACATCTCAAACACACACTTCGCTTTATTACGCACAAAGAAGGTGAAAGTATACATGAAAAGAATGCTCGATTTTTGTATTTTAAGAGAAAAAAGAAAAGAAAGCAATAATATGAAGAAGAGCAGAAATTGAATAAATAAAACGAGACATGCGGGAAACGGGAAAGTGTGGATGATCTTTACGATGGGTTCGCTAAAGCAAGGATTTTTGGGTTGAATTATAAAAAAATCTTGAATTATCGGGGTTGATTATACTATTTGTCATATGAAAAAAAGAGACATAAATCATTCAACGAGAACATTGGGAAAACTATGAAGACTACATGTTTGGGATTAGGAATTTTTTAGAAGTTGTATTATGTACTATCCGAGAAAAGAGGTGTACAAAGAGGGAGAAGTGTTATTAGAACGGAAAATATGTGTGAGAGGTACAATAACAGATCTCTCACAAAAAAATACGTTGATATTTAGGGGGTGAGGGTGCGATTTAGAGAAAAAAAACACAAGGCACATAAAATTAACATCAGATTTGACTGGGAATCATGGCATATAGTAGAGACGCTCGCCAAGATTGAAACCTCGTCCGAAGAATGGAGTCCAGCTCATGTCGACGGTTTCTGAAAATAACTATAATTAGCCTGATAAGAAGGTATCAAACGCTTACCTGTCTTTTCCTCATCAGAGCACTTAGAGGTGGACGCTGTGGCTTCATGCCAAATGTCCATCATTTCTCTGACCGGAGCTTTGAAGCTGAATCCGCAACGTGGTTCATCGGAATCCAGTTGTGGCGTCGCCAACGGGAGTTTCGACACAGAATTACTCTTTGTAGCGCGAAGTGGTTCTCGTTTTTTCGGCAAGTGTGGTGTCTCGGTGAGCTTCGGAGCTTCGACGATCTCTTCGGATGATGAAACTTCCACTGGTGATAGAATAGTGAGGCCCAATGGGCTGAAACCCTCCTCCACCGAATAATTTCTTTCAGATGGGCTGTGCTCATAGTCACCAACACGATTAGCATGTTCCTCATCGTTGGAGGAATCTGAGAACGATAAACGACCAACTGGTTGTCCGATCCCGCTGTCCGGCGATGTTGATTGCTTCTTTTCCTGAAGAAGTTTTTGATCCTTTATTGTAGCGGCATAACTTCTTGACTGTGGAGGTGGCGGTGGAGCCGGCACTATGATGGATGCTTGTGGATTCTCCATTTCCAAAACATTAAGGTCGGTATCCATGTGATCATGTTCATGATCATCCTCATCAGCATCATAGTCGTAATGGAAGACGCAGTCGCAATCCGACGGGTGATCATCGTTGTTGTTCGGCTCGCCGCCGAAAGATGACTCGGACCACTGAAAATCATACACTACCTTCTAAAGGTGCCGCACATTAACTTACAGTTCTTCCGACAGTATATGTCAGCATTGTTGAAGTGGAGCGATCTGTATGAAGACGTGACCGCGTCGCTGGAGAAAATGTGTAATGATGATGACTGGATGCAGCCGATGGAGAATTGTAACCGGCGGTATCTCCTCCTCTCTTTTTCTCTTCCAGAGCCGCACTCGGTTTGGAGTTGAATTGAAGCACGGGAAGCTGTTTCGCCTTCTTGGCCTTCTTCTTTTTCTCTTTCTCAACTGCCTTTTCCTTTTCGTAGAGAGCTTGCTTATCTCGTGTCATTTGTCCCCGGTTGCATCTACATCGGCAGAACTTTCCGACGAGTGATTGTCCTTTTCTTTCCCATAAATTGTTGCGTCTTTGTGGTACTGTCCACCCGCGAGCGCTTCCGAGCGTTGCTAGCCGTCGCACAAGATTGTCTTCGAGAAGCTGATAGCAAACCGAATGAAGTGGTCGGCTAGAATAGGGGCATGACTCCCAGGTACATGTCATCTTGACACCATCCAATGGATCAACGTCTTCTTTTGCTAAAAACGAGCAGAGATGAGCAATATTTCGAGTTCACACAGAAAACTCACGACATTGACAGCGTATGGGATCTAATACTGGGCATCCTACGACTGGAGCACTGCCGGAAGACGAATTGGAACCTCCTCCATCGGCTGATGATGTATTTCGACCTCGTTTCACAATCTCGTTTCTTCTAAGCCCTCGAGGCATCGTTGAAAACTTCTGTGGTTTGAGCGATTCTATGTGGACTGTCTGAAAAAATAAGGTGCATGTCTTCGGAATGATCGAATAATGGGTCAAAACCATCCAGCGTGAAATTATTCGAAAGATTTCGAAAAAAGAAAGAAACTTTGTTTTGAAAACAAGTATGTAAAAAAACAAAAATTGTCCGGAACGGGTACGCAAGATCTCGTGAGAGTGTTCACACCTAATGCGCACAATTAGGATCTACAGTAATCTCCAATATTTCGCTCGAAGCTTCAGATTTAAAATATTATGCTTGTCTGAGAAAAAAAAGGTTAGAGAGTATTTTTTGCAGTCTGAATACGGTAGCGATATCGAAGCGGAGAGCCTAAATAGCACACAAACGGTGGAGACGCAGACACTTTTTCTCTGCGTCTCAACCTTTTTTTCTCAGACAAGCATAATACAGGAAATCGGAGTTATTAAGAAAATCGTTAAGAAAATCGTTACAGAGCAAACTATTTAGTAGATTTTAAATCGCGCCTAGCACACAGTATTTCCCTCAACTCAGCGCTTAAAAAATGTCACTAGCTACCACCGGAAACAATAGAAAGAATGAATGGCGTTCCTGAGAAGAAGCCATGGGACCGAGGACTCCGCCCATTTGTACCATGTGCTAAGAGAGCAGAGACTTAGAGGACAATCCAGTGGGCGTGGCTTCTTCTAGCTGGTAGATAGAGTGTCGAGGAGATGAATAATCAAAAACAGTGAGGTCTCGTGCAGAAAAAAAAGAAAAAAAGAAGAAAAAGGGAATTGATAAAATTTTGGCGGGTTTGATTGTTGATCGGCAGTTAGGAACACCAAGAAAAATAACAATCATGGAATCAGATGGACCTAAAGATGCGAATGGGAAGAAAATTTAGATTAAAAAACTCAGTCGGCTTTTCACTACAAGCTCTCCTATACTCGGAAAATGAATGTAGATGATCAGACGATCATCATCACATGTGTCCCGATTTCGCTTTTATACACTCCGTTTTTGCACACTCACTGCACATTTATATGAATGGATGTATACATTCGTGTGTGTTCTTGCTTCACATACTTTTCGAGTTCCAATAGTTTTTGCCCTCTCACTGTGATTTCGAAATCAGAAAAATGATTCCCGCGGTTTCAGGGTTATGATTGTCCGCGTATCTCTATCTCTTCTATTGTTCAAATTTGAAATTTGTTTTGATTCTCGGAAAGAAATCGAGGTTAGGAACGTTTTTGGGACCAAAACAAGTATTCAAATATATTTTGTATAATAGAAGCCCTCCCAGACTGTAAATTTGCGAACTTATAAAATATTGCTAAAATTATGATAAACAATTTATCAGTTGACAGATGTTTGATATTTTTTACAGGAATCGAGATAATCGAGTTCAAAGTTAACGGTTTGGTCTGGGCTTCTACGAAAAATTCCGACCATGAGCCCACCCAAACCGCCCACTTTAAGCTCAATTATCTTGATAGCAGTGCAAGATATCAAAAAATTTTCAACTGATAAAATATTCAACATAATATCACCATTACTTTACCAATTGACAAATTTTCGATACCTTTCACAGGAACGGAGATACATTGGCTCAAAGTTGACGGTTCCGGTGGTTTTCTTTTAGAGTATTTATGGTGTATGGGGGAGCTGGAACTCTACCGAACGGCTCCGTTATTTTCGAAAAAAATTGAAAAACACCACAGGAAACTAACTGAAACTGGTGTCTGATGTCTCCAAGAATTGCACCAAATAAAGCAAAAAGATTAGTGATAACCGAAAATGCTGAGTTTCTCCCATGACATTTGTCAAACTTTTTCTTTTGGATCTCACGATTATTATTGCATAGGATTTGAGATTCAAAAACACTTCAACTTTGAAAAAAACAACCATCCGACAAAAGTCGGCCGCCACCAAAAGGTGCAAAAAAGGGCTGAGTGGGGGTAAGAAATCAAAACATTTTCAAATTTGAAGGAGACGGCGGCCGCCTAGTACGCCATGGTGTGGGGCGGAGGACATTGCATGTTGTTCTAATGATGACTCCCATTGGGTAACGATAGTTTGCTCCAATCAAACGAATTTGGACTTTGATAAGTGGAGCAGAGAAAAAAGTTTTCCAAAAGACAAAAAATCGTAGGCTCTAACTACAAATAACCTCTTGTAATGCAATGATAAGTTATAAATCATTCTCTTGCAACATATGGATTGCTCAGACTAAACTACCGTAACTCTCACACTCTCTCCGCTCTCTCACCTATCCATGTGTCATCCACAGTTGACCCCTCCGCTTGATACCCCTATTGCGCAATAATTTTACCAACAGGCGCACCAAAACAGATGACATCAAGGTGTGCATCTCTTCTTGTCACAACAGAAGTCAATCCATTTGCAAGAACGAGATCAATCTCTACCGTAACCCAACTCGCCATGCGTGAAGAGATGCAATAAAGCTGATGAAGGATCCCGCGACGTCTTCGGGAACCCATCGTAAACCGTGTCGGAGCTTCCGTAAAGAAGTGGATATCAGTTGACACCAGACGCGCGAAAAGTCATATAAACAAATTAGCAGCGCGTTGATTATGTGGGACATACGTTCCTTTCGGGGGAAGATCACATGCAACCATTGTTTTTCCTGTTTTTCCACAAAAAAAAACGGTTCCTCTCATATGATTCATGATTTTTCCCAATAAAATTTATTTTGTTTACAATGTGTCGAAATTTCGAAATATTGGGAAAATTGTTTTAATGTCTTGGAGGATGCATAGGAATTTCGTTGCGCCTATTCCTTTATCCACCGTGACAAGGTTAGTGAATCTGGAAGGAGGATCCAAAAAAGTATCCAATTTATGATGTCATGTTATATACTCAATCCAATGTGCACCACCCTGTAAATGGACGGTACCAAGTGTAAGGGGAAGAGAGTTCGACCAAGGAATACCCCGTCAGAAAAAGTGCTCATCAGAGGAAAGTACAAGCTAGGAAAGAATGACAATAAAGCAGTCCTCAAAAAGTTTATTAGTATAGTTTCATTAAAAAAAGCCTCTATTTACAACATGTGGCGAAATAAGTTCCCTCGACACACTTGGCGCCAGCTGGACAGAATTTCGACTTGCAAGTCTTTCCAACGACAGTTATTGGGATTCCACCACGGTTCTCTTCGTGCACTTTCGTTCCCTTTGGACACTTTGGATTCCAATCCGCTTCGAAATCTTTTGTGATCTTCTTATCACAGCAATGGTTGATCAGACCCCCGTTGATACATGTTGCATTTGGTACACAATCTTTCCGAAAATATGAAAAATATGAGAGATATGATTTTAGATTTTACATCAGTAGAACATGGGCCAATGAAACCTTTGACAGTATTCAATTCCTTGCTTCCAGCAGCACATACTACGTAGTCATCTGAAAATTACAAGAATTTGTTCAGAAGCTGAAATATGTAAAACTTACATCCAACACGAAAGTTACGGCACTCTCCTTCACTCTTGAAGTTGTTTTTATTACCACCACATCCAGTATATTCGAAGGCAAGTGGAATAAAAGCTTTGATGTCGAAGTAGTACTGTAACTCTGGATTTAACATGTGAACTCAAATTCCTCAAGAGAATCAAACTCACTCTAATTTCCGGCTTTCCAGTTTTACATGGGCTCTTTCCCATGTCTAATTTCAGCGTGCATTCTTCTGGAATACCATAGACGAATGGATGGAAACCTTGCCGAGAAGAAAATGAGTGAATATATACTGATTGATGTGAGTTTAGATGGTCGAGTATGACACTTTTATAGGTTTTGATGAGATGTGATAGGCACGTTGACATTTTAATTTTAATTTTTTAAATTTAATTTATTGACCAGGTGAATGCAACAAAGGAGGGCAGGACATGAAAGACTCAGAAAAAATGCCCCTCACGAGGCCGATCTGAGTAGGGGAGGGGAAGCGGGATAATTAGATATTTGACACAGGAAAAGATATAACCGGTAGAGAAAAGAAAAAAAAGAAATAAAAAAAAGGGCGCAAATATATCAAAAACGGGTAATACTGGACGAAATTAAGGATTCAAACTCGGAAGGTAGGAGAAATCGGGTAATTTGGGAAGTGATGGCGTTCCACAGGGGAACAATTGAAGAAAAATAGTCTGAGGAGTAGGGCTGAACAATAATTAAGTTCATAGGGCGACGAGGGGAGGAGGAGTATTTGACATGTGCATTTAGGTTAGGAAAGTAGGCGGAGCCATTTAAAAATTTGTAGAGAAGAATTAGTTGAGCTTTTAGCCTACGATGACGAATAGAGAACATATTGAGGATAGAGAGACGATCAGAATAGGAACTGTACTGGATATTACAACGCTGGAAAATACACTTAGAGAAAAATCTTAAGGGAGATTCTAGTTTTAGAGCAAGGCGAGAAGAAGGCGGAGGGGAATAAACTACAGAACAGTATTCAAGAATCGGGAGAACATAACGTTTGAAAAGATGAATGTAGAATTCAGGAGATTTAGATCTAAATGACTTTAAGAGTTGTTTGGAACGGAGAAGAGCTAGAGATGTGATTTTGTTGATGTGAGCAGAGAATTTGAGAGAGGAATCAGTAATGAGTCCCAAGTCCCGGACGGAGGAGGAGGGAGTAAGTGGGACACCCGCAATATTGAGAGGATGGGAAGAATTATGGGAACCTAGGCGAAGAAGGGCAGTTTTAGAGTGGGCAAGAGGGAGATGGTTGGCGGTAGTCCAATTCACAACCATGTTGATACCAGTTTGAAGGGCGATTGGGTCATGAGAATACAATTTGATATCATCAGCAAAGGCGGCAAGGTGAAGAGAGGGGATTTGTTCAAGTTCTAAGAGCAGATCATTGATGAAAATGAGAAATAGTAAGGGACCGGAGACTGATCCTTGAGGAACACCAGAGGGAATGACAGAGGAAGGAGGTCCAATGAAATCAAAGATTTTGACAGAGAACGTTCGACCAGAGAGAAAAGAGGAGAACCAAGCTACGTAGGATTTAGGGACTCCAAAGCTAGTAAATTTCTGGATGAGAAGTTGATGATTTACCTGGTCGAAGGCTTTGCGGAAATCGAAAAAGACGACGTCTAGTGTATTGTACTTCAAGAGAGTAGCTTTATAATTCGAAACAGATTGAACTAGAGAGGTGGTGCAGGATCTGTAGGAGAGAAAACCATGTTGAAGACTACTGAATTGATGGAGGAATTCCCATTTGATACGATCACATACCATTGTGAATCAAAAGACGACAGTATCACTTCCTCGTTTGGTTGCAAAACAAAGGTCAATCTAGAGATGGGCGAACCGGGAAGCAAAATCTTTTGGAATCTCGGATTCTGATGACTCGAGTGTTTGTCCTGAAATGAAGGTTGATCCGAAACAGTGTCAAACTGAGAAATTATATTATAGTTAGGTAATAGAGTGGAAAAAAACTCCTTTTACTCAATTCTCCCTATGCAAATTTTTAACTTTCCGAACAGGTTTGATTCATATTTTTAGCTAATATTTGAAGCGTTCTGATTGCTTTAGTCAACTCTTTGAAATTCGAATTACCTTAAAACCTGTAATAGAATGACCCCCTTAGAACGATCAGAAGTGTATTGTCAGTTCACATTTTTTGAAAGCTTTCACAGGATTCGAGACAATTGAGGTCAAAGTTGACGGTTTCGATGACACTCTATTGGAGGAAATACAGTATATTTGTTTTACGAGTAGCTAGAGTTAAAATAATATCTTTTCCAATAAAGAAACCGAAAGATTGTTTTTCAGGTTACAAAAAATATACATTTTTGATTCATTTTTTGTGCTTCCCCAACGAGAATCCCTGATAACATGAGATAAAGTACGATATATCCGTATGGATATCTGAAGAAGTTTCGGCAGTTGACGAGACAGATGAGAGATATATTTTTGACACCAAGAAGATCCAAAAAAGAGAAATTCCAATACTCAACAAATTTATAAGGTAAGTTATTTGCAGCAACTAGCAAAATAATTTCCTTCAACACAAGTAGCTCCAGCTGGACAGAATTTCGATTTGCAAGTCTTTCCAACCACAAGCAACGGGATACCTCCCTGTTGGACTTTCACAGCCATCTTTCCCCTTGGACACTTTGGTTCCCAATCAGCTTCGAACTTCTCCGTTATCTTCTTATCACAACAAATCTTGAAACCATTTCCCCAAGTGCATTTTCCCTTTGGTCCGCAATCTTTCTGAAAATTTCAAAATTTAGAATAATTTAAAATCAGGTTGTTTTTACATCTTCCTGACAAGTTTCTGGTTTTGGGAAAGGCTTGCTTCCAGCTGCACAACTGTTGAAATCAACTAAAAACACATAGTTTATTTTTGAGAACTTCATCGATTACAAACTTCCAAGACAAAAGTTACGGCACTCTCCTTCGCTCTTAAAGCTGTTCTCGTTACCTCCACATCCAGTGTATTCAAAGGCAAGAGGGATAAAAGCTTTGGTGTCGAAATGATACTGAAAAAAAGAAAACTTTTAAACTCCAAATGTAAATAAAACACACTCTAATCTCCTTCTTTCCACCTTTACATGGCGATATTCCCATATCCAATGGGAGTTCGCATTGCTTCGGAAGAGTGATTGAGTAAGCGGAAATTCCTGCGACGAGGGCAAAAAATAAGAGAAGAGAATGCATTTTGGAGAGAAGGGTCTTTATGGGTCTTTTATACTGTTCCGAGAAATGATAACAAGACAACAAGGGGTATAGGAGGAAGTTGATATGATCTTCTCGCTACTTCCTTGTAGAGGTGGCCGAACCGAATTTCGAAGAATTAGAAGATCGGAAGAAAATTAGACTAGACTGTCAGAATTTATGAAAAGAAAAAAAAACGGAGCAAATAACAAAGTTTAAGTAAACGAAAAATACGTTTGAAACTTTCCACTGAAAATACCGTAAACACTTTAATAGAAGGCCACTTATATCGTCAACTTTCAGCCCATATATCTCTGCTCCTGTAAGAGATATCAAAAAGTGATCAACTGACCAAATGTTTATCATAATATCAAAAAAAAAAAAACTTTATCAGTTGACAACTTTTGGTTATCTTTCACAGGAAACAAGATATATAGGCTCAACGTTGAAGATTCGGCTTTTTATTAGAGTGTTTCCGGTAACTTTCCATAAAAAGCAAAGAAGCAAAGATTTTGCTTCACCGATTGAGAATCTGTGAATTTTCAATATCTGAATATCGCTAAAATTTTAGAAGTTACCAATATTTTTATACTTCCTAGAATTTTTTTTGCATACCCATCTCTAAACATGTATCCACGCATTCATTTATTTGCTCAGTTTCCTCACATCACACTTGTCAGAAATAACTATTCAAATAAAACAGTTTCCTGTGTTCACAAAAAATATTTTCAAAGTTACTTTTTTTTCGAAGAGAACCTATAGTTTTCTTTCTTCTTTTTTCAATTAAATGGGTACCATGACAACCAGGGATTTTAGTTTTTTTTTTTGAAAGAGTTCCCTTTTTGTCACAACTTTTCTGGAAAACAAAGAACCAATTTTAAACCCAAAACACTACCAAAAAACAGAGTAACGGAAAAAAATACGTTGCATTATCTCGCGAGAAAAAAAGCAGCCACTATTAGACCACGGAACCCAATTTGATTATCTCCGCCTTCCTAGCGGTGTTTTCCCTCCCGCAGCACAATCCACTTTTCTGTGCTCTGTAGAGTGCTCATTTTCAAAAGACACCCTCTTATATTCCAGCACATTTCCTCATCTCTCGTGTTGTTTCTCATTGTCAGTGTTTTTTTTTTCGCTCTTCACACCCAAATGGTGACACTTGCTAATACCAGTTCGACGTCTTCAGAAGAAGATGAGGAATGTTATGGGAATGAGAAAATAGTTACTTTTCGTGGAAATGAGTTTTGAATAGGTTTGAGAAGTTAGGTGGCGTTCAAAGATCCCACTGAAAATTACAATTTTATTACCATTTTGTCTTTTGTACTATATCATTTTGTCTATTGTAATTCTTTTACATCTCTCATCTGGGGTTATACGGTAAACAGAATTACGAAAAAACCAATTTTTCTCAAAATCTCTTCATCAAAATTAGGATTCCAAGAACTCGATATAACACCTCTCTTTACTGATTTCCATTACTTCAAATTGCATTTGGAATACCAAAAAAACATTCTCACATCATTCAGAAAAAAGTTCATTTCCATCAGAAGAAAATCCTCTCCAACTACGTTCCCTGTGCCACTGGTCACCTCTTTCAATTAAGCAATTATCCCCAATTTTTTTTCGTCTTTCTCTTTTTGTCAGTCTAGTTCTTGTTCGTCTCTTCCAACATCTCTTGGCAACATCATCTCATCTTGCTGCTCTTCAAGATATTCGATTCCACCACTCAAATTCGCTCCTTTTGTGTCCCCTCATATAAATTGACTCCACCATGATCAGAGATTGATGTCGTCGACGACGACGACGTAAAAATGGCGATTGATTTGTTTCTATTTTCCGAACTTTTTTGTTTGCCGATTTTTCTGCAAATCTTGTTAGTGTGCTCCAATGCACTGCGTTCAACTTCTCTACCCATTTTTCTTTTTTATGCTCCATTAGAGGGAAAATTTTCAAGTTGATATGAGATTGAACAAGGAGATAAGGGGTTATTTTTGGAGCAGCTCTCATGCTTGACCCCTGCAAATTGCTCTTCGAAAAAGTGTGGTGCCATAAAGTATAATACACAGACTCTTTAATTTCCGGCACTACCTAGAAAATTTCATTTAATTAAGCTTGATGTTTTTATAAGTTTTGACTCCTCCTCTCCCTTTCCTTCTATGTTCCCTTTTTTGCAACTCTGACGAGCAGAAAAAAGCACAACATTGAAGAAAAACAAGAGAATTTTCTTTTCATATTCTAGTTCTTCTTATGCTTCTGGCTCTCGACACCCAGGCTCATAAATCGCCGCCGCGCGAAAAGCTGTGCTCCTGGAAACGCGTGAATGAGCTGCATCGTACTTGATTCCCTTTTTATTACTCTCTTTCTTTTTATGCTGTTTTTTATTGTGTGTAGGTCACTCGGACCGGATTCGTGTAAAGAGTGAAGCTCCTTCTAGATTTTAGAAAAATGTCAGGAACACTCTAACCGTTATCTTTGAGTCAATGTATATCATTTCTTGTTAAATATATCTAATACTAGTCAACTGATAAAATGTTTATCAAAATGTCAAAAACAGTTTGTCAGTTGACCACTTTCTGATATTTTTCTCAGGGCATGAGGGATATGGGCTCAAAGTTGAAGGCTTGGGGTGGCATTCTATTAGAGTGTTTACGGCAATCTCGAAGATACACAGTATCCGTCCTCATTTTTGACAAGAAAAATTGTTTTCAATTGTTCTGGTCAGAAAAACTGTCTGTCTTAGCTTTTTGTTGAAATTTTCGAATTCTATCAAGTTCATTATTTTCCAGTCCTAAATGATACATCACCATGATTTCAATTTTAGGCTAAATTTACTGTAAATCTTTTTTTTTTGAAAGTGTGAGGTTTCAAAAATACCGGTGACACTCTAATAGAAGGCTACTTGCACTTTGAGCTCAGTTGTCTCGATTTCCATGCGAGATATTAAAAATGTTTCAACTGATAAAATGCTGAGGATATTATGATAAAACTTTTATCCTTTGCCAGATTTTGTTATCTCTCATAGAAATTGAAATAATTGAGGTCAAAGTGTGTATTAGAAAGTTTTCATTGTTTATAAAATTTTTTCTGAAATGTTAAAATTTCAAAACCCTGCAACTTTTTTTCGGAGAATGGAGCCTGTTCACCATACTCGTTCTCCTTTTATGAATTCTGTCTTTCTGACACTCCAATTTTTTCACCCAAACTGGTCTTCAGCCGGCTACTCATTTCCATAAGCGCTCTGTCAGACTGGCTGCTGTTTCTGTTGTCCTACTATTCCCGCGGGACATCACCCCTTCGGTTTCCAGTCCCATTTTTTCTCGCCGTTTCTCCTATTTTTATTTCCTTTCTACCCTATTTCTCTATCACGTGGACCTAACTCTCTCCATCCTCTTCCCACCCATTTTCCAATTTGTGAGAAAAGAAAAAGAAGAAGATTAGTCATGAAAAAAAAAGTTGAACGAAAGAAAAAAACCAAAAGAGATAAGCTTTCAGAGCAGACTTTCTATGTTTTAGAAATCAAATTAAATAGTTTTTTTTCCGGTGCATCACCAACCAACATTAAATCGAATTTTCCGAAAAAAAAACTCTCTTATCTATTTGTGAAAACCTCACCCATGTCAACATCTTTTCCTGATCTTCCAACGCCTTCTGAATCCACGACGAAACACTTATTCTTCCACAACGACATAGTGTATGAATGAATCGGTTTTTTGTGTTGTTTCGATTGCTAAAAACGGAGCAAAAAATACAAAGACAGAAAAGGAAACAAGGAGAAAGTAGAAATTGAGAAGGATAGGAAGAAAAAATGGAGTCAGAAAAAGGAGAAGAAGAAGAAGAAACAAAAGAAGAAAGAGAAGCACTTTTATGAGTGTCAGCTCTTCCTTTAAAGAAGGAAAAAGTGGTTTTGGTGCTCTATTAACTCGCCAATTGTCACCAGTTTCAGTTTCATATTCTGTTTTAATTCCAGTCTCTGATCCTTGAGCGAACCTTGAAGTGTATAATATTGTATAATTTTTTAATCATCGAGATAGAGTCCACTCAGTCTATCAATGATCATTTGAAATACCATTCCACGGTAGTAAGTACGTCAAAATTAGCTACATATTTAAAACCTGTAATAGTACAGCCCCCTGTTAACTTTGACTGTTAACTTTGAGCCCTGTTAACTGTTAACTTTGAGTTAACTGTTAACTTTGAGCCCATTTATCTCGGTTCCTGTCTAATATATACAAAAGTTGCTAACTGAGGAAATGTTTATTATGATATTTCAAACTTGACAATATAGGGGTTTTATTACAGGCTTTACGGAAGTTTTTTTTGCTGTGCACAGCCAGATTCTTAAAATCACACTATTTTCAAATTGTGACTATTATCTTGAAGCGAGAATGTCAGAAGGTTTAGCAAAATTCACAAAATCTGGTCTATTTGTAAAGAAAATCATCCAGTTTGCCCTAAATTTTAGCAATGTCCTTGCCATCTTATTGCAGTAGAGAACTTGTCATTTTTGTCCAATCCTTGCCATTTATATTTTTCGCATGTGTTTTCATTTGGAAACGCTACTGTACTAACAAATTTAACATCACATGCTCTTAGAATTTTTACTTTTTCTGAAGGTTCTTGCCCAAACTTGGTCGTGGTCTTCCTTAATTCTGATCCAGTTCACTTACCTTCTACCGTAAGTTCTCAAATGGAAGCCCTTTCTATACTTGCACTTTGAGCTTAATTATCTCGGTTTGTCTGGGAGATATCAAGAAGTAGTCAACTGATAACATTTTTATCATATTGTCACCAACAATCTTAAAATTTACTTTTTTTTAAAATACCTTTTATGGCAACCGAGAAAATTGAGCTCAAAGTGATTATATAGGGTGTTAGAGAAAATTATATAGGGTGTTAGAGAAAAGTTAGAGAAAATACTGTTCATTACCACGTTCTAAAATATTTTTCTCTTATTCTGATTAGCATCCACAACTTCTTCCTTTCCTTTCCCACATTCTCCCACC